CACTCTGCTGATGTTTAATGTAGGTAGATCAGCTATTAGCACATACTGACGCATCTGTGGAGGATTAACAAACTCATATCATGTAAAACATCCATAAACATGCAACTGACTTCATCCAGGACTAAAAGCTGAACTGACATTCACTCCTTTTTTTTTCACAACTTCTGGACCTTTTAAGACTTATTCCAAAGGATCAGTATCTTCTGAAATGTGATGTTTAAAGTCCTAAAACACAACAAAAAGGCTATTATTTGGATTAAGAGGTTAAAACATCACCCGCTGAATAGAGAACTACTTAACAGAGGAATAATGTCAAATAAATTATGTTCAGCAATGGGTGTGACATCATATTCTGTTGAACTGTTGGTCTCTTTGACCCGATTAAGAGTTTTAGTCTTGACAAGACTAAGGTTGCATGCTGCATCCTGATGCACGCTTCGTTCAGCACAGTGATACGATTGGTGGGTGTAGTTTGGTAGAAAGAAAATAGTTCCAACATGAAACTGCTTACAACAAGGTCTGTTATTATCTTGAGTAACCGGGTCATGATTTCTGAAAAGAGACATTGCTGCTGAGTTTTTCAAATGTATTTTTTGATACATTTGATACAACACAAGCCGAGTGTCATCTAGTTCCAGAGTGAAGAGAGAAGACAGATATCTCTACGGCCGATATCTCCAACGCTCTGCAGCTCACATTTTTGATTTGGGGGTGAACTATCCCTTTAACTACACTTTAGTGTGAATGCTATTCCAAAGCCTTCTCCACAATGCCTGGAACCAAATTCAGATACTGAATGCCTCATCTTATTTTAGTTGGCCTAACGCAGGGGACGGCAACCTTCAGCTCTGGAGCTCTTTGAGCCCCTCTCCATTGGCTCCCTGTGGCTTTGACATAACATTATATGGAAATGAATAACAGTTATTTTTTTAATATTCAGATTTTTATTTGTCATTGTTGTAGGCCTGAGGTGATTATTGCATTCCACAACTGTAAATATGTGCAGCCAGCCTGTACATCTAATTAAAAAATGTTTTAATGTTGCAACTGTTGCGTCATACATCTACGACCTGGTACCTTCTTCTCTAAATTTTGCTGATCTTCAGTAGCGGTGGCTAGCCTGGGGTCTCTCTAGCAAGGCTAGCTATTGATTCCAAATCCAACAAAAGAAGAGTCTTGAAGGAAAATAGAGGATTTAGTAGAGTGTGGACAGATTCATTTGCTTTCACCACCAATGCTGCAAAGTTAAAGTACTAAATAGGTATAAATAGCCAACTATAGAGTAGACATTTTGTAGTAAATCATATTAATGAATGCTCATTTAGACCTATTCATAATGCTGATGTGCTAATTTAGACTTTATAGGCTGTTACTTTTATTCAAACATGACTTGCGGCTCAAGAGATCTTTTCTTTCTTTTTTTGGCCAATAGTGGTTCTTTTAATAGTAAAGGTTGCTGACCCTTGACCTAACAGGATTCAGATTTTAATTTTTTATGCCCAAAAGAGTAAAAGTCACTTCATAAAATACAGCCTAGAGAAACCAATGAGTGCAACCGTAAGTCCTTCTGCAGAGGATTCCACATATAAGGAGCTGCATACATAAATGTTCGCTTGCCAAACTCTGTAGGTACCCTCGGTATAGACAATAAAAACATGTTCTGTGAACAGAGAGCATACACATTTTTTAATTTTTTGCTTAATGTAGGCCTACGCACATAAATATGTTGGAAGCAGGCCAATAATAGCTCTGTAAACAAGAGAATGCCAATGACAAAGTCTACGAATTTTTAAAGGGATCCACCACACCCAAGCAATTTGTGACAATTTCCATTGCAAGTTGAACATCTTGGGGTTGTGGACAGTTGATCGAACAAAAAATCAATCTGAATACGTCTTCATGTGTAACAGCTAAACTGTAAACTACCATGGAGAAAAGTCCAGTGGGTAAGGTGGTAGGTGTGTGCTGTTGGTGTCAGGTGTGGAGGATCTGGTGACTTAAGGAGGTAGGAACACTCTGAGGACAAGTGGTGGGTGGGAGAAAAACGACAGGGTCTGACATGACAACAAAGGCGAGTGCATAAACAGGATGATTAATTAAATGCAGATCATTGTGGAAATGGGGTATCAGTTGGGACACACTGGGCTCTGGTTAATAGTGGTGAGAATGTGTCACTGTTTTCTCACATTTTATTAAGTATATAATAATAAAAAGGATTAAAAAATGAAAAATGGATGGATTAATGGATCATGAAAGCAGATGCAGCCTTATGCAAATACTAATAATAGCACTACTCCTACCCATCTCACAGAAATAGACTCCTTATGAATACAATTAAGGACGTTTTTGTAATTCTAAAATAAGATGAGCCTCCGTTTGGCACCTGTTCTTACATCGTGATTGATTGCACAAAATTATCATAAACTCAAAAGGCTAATAGGCAATTTATCCGCCGGGTTGACGGGATGAGACCAGTTTTGGCTCCTCTCTGATATTGACTGACTAACTGTGGGTAATGGCTTCGACCCAGACCGATGTGCAGTATTTTTGGAGATGAACTCCTCAAATATTGGCAATCGATGATGTTATTAGTGTTACTGAAACCTGAGATGTCATAAATCACCGGGCTCCTCCTCTACAACCAGAGCTCATTAGATATTGATGAGCCAAATTATATCTAAACTGCTTACCCAAGTCAAATGATACCAGTGACAAAGACACACAGTCCTGTAGGATACAGCTCTACGGTCATTATCTGGAGCTGCAGACAGTACTGATTACAATTATTTGGACTCAGTGTCAATTACAGTCCTCCCAGACGTGAATTGTGACTTCTCTGCACCCGATGTGCAAACACAGGAAAAAGGAGAGCCTTTCCCCCAAATGGTGAATCCTCCTCAGCTGCAGCTCTCTCCTCACATTGTTGTGATTAACTGCCGGAGCCCGATGACACCTCTCCCAATTAGGGAAGCCCTTCAGCCACATGTGCCGAGAGGAGCCTCGTTGCTTTGAGAAAACTCCTGTCAGACGATATACTATCTCTGCCATTTGGAAGACAAAACACATACACTGATACACACACACACATGGACACACTCCAGCCGTGAACGTACAGCATGTTTGTGTTTTTGTCCAAGTATAGGCCTGTGTGTGTGTGTGTGTGTGTGTGTGTGTGTGTGTGTGTTTGTGTCTTTCAGTGTCGCTCTATATCTGTTTTGTGACTGGGCATGTGTTTAATCTGTCAGTTTGTTTACTTCCTCCCAAGGGTCTGAACGCAACTTAAGGGACCCTCCTTCTCAATGCTATTGGGAAAATAACGGAAAGAGAAGAAAAGACAACAAAGGAAGAAAGTGAGGGAACAGAGAAAAAAAGAAAATAAAATGGCTGGAAGCTGAGGTTGGAATTTTGCCCTCCACTTCAGATTTAACTTCAAAGTTCAAAACAAGAATAAGAGAAAATTTGTCTATAGACCAATTTGTACACCTTGCTAGTACCAGGTTGGACCCATTTTACCTTCAGAACTGCCTTAATTCTTGGTGTCATAGATTCAACAAGGTGCTGGAAACATTCCTCAGAGATGTTGGTCCATACTGACATGATAGCATCACACAGTTGCTGCAGATTTATCTCCTGTTCCGCCACATCCCAAAGGTGCTCTGTTATAATGAGATCTGGTGACTGTGGAGGCCATTGGAGTACAGTGAACTCATTGTCATGTTCAAGAAACCAGTTTGAGATGATTTGAGCTTTGTGACATGGTGCGTTATCCTGCTGGAAGTAGCCATCAGAAGATGGGTACACTGTGGTCATAAAGGGATGGACACGGTCAGCAACAATACTCAGGTAGGCTGTGGTGTTTAAACCATGCTCAGTTGGTACTAAGGGGCCCAAAGTGTGCCAAGAAAATCTCCCCCACACCATTACACCACCACCACCAGCAGCCTGAACCACTGATACAAGGCAGGATGGATCAATGCTTTCATGTTGTTTACACCAAATTCTGACCCTACCATCTGAATGTTGCAGCAGAAATCCAGACTCATCAGACCAGGCAACGTTTTTCCAATCTTCTATTGTCCAGTTTTGGTGAGCCTGTGTGAACTGTAGCCTCAGTTTCCTGTTGTTAGCTGACAGGAGTGGCACCTGGTGTGGTCTTCTGCTGCTGTAGCCCATCTGCTTCAAGGTTGGACGTGTTGTTGGTTCAGGGATGGTCTTCTGCAGACCTTGATTGTAACCAGTGGTTATTTGAGTTACTGTTGCCTTTCTATCATCTTGAACCAGTCTGGCCATTCTCCTCTGACCTCTGGCATCAACAAGGCATTTTAGTAGTTTTATTTTACAATGTAACATGTTCATAATAAATAAATAGAAAATAAAATAGCAAATTACTAAGTGACAGCATAACATAAAACATTTTTAAATTAAAATTTTCTTGTCCTTATTTTTCTTCTTTTTTTGTTATTTTTATTAGTAGTAGTAGAAGTACATTTTCTATATATACACAATATTTTTCTTACTTTTTCTTTCTTTTCTTTAATACTTAACTAAAGGCAAAATAAGATTACAAGGAAGTAATAAAATATAAAATAAAAAACAACAAATAAACAAACAAACAAACAAACAAAGAAAACCTGAATTATTAAACAATTAACATAGAAATAAATAAAACCGTTTCCAAATTTAAATCATCAAACAAGATGAATGTTGCTTCTTCCTCCATTTTGGATATGAAATTGTTCATTTATGTTGCTTATTGAAAGTCTGTTGTCTTTATGTTCACCGTTATTTATATATAGGCCTATTTACATACATATCTCTATTCATATTGTATACAAAAAAAGAAGAAAGAAATAAAGTGTCTGCAATTCAGCTCCACTCCTCAATAACATCTTCTCATTTGGGGGTTTTACTTCACCTGCACAGAGAAGTAACGCTCGGCTCGGCCCCGCCCCCTAGCGGCGGAAGAACTCAACGTCGTGACGTCCTGAGGCGATGACGTATTTCCCGTCATCATTTTGCTTATTTCAAATATTTACAAACTGCTACACTCAGCCTCAGTTTGTCGCCTCTCCAGCTTTTTTTTGTCTCCTCAGTTTGAACCATCACATCAAGGTAAATATGTGACACCAGCTGGACACAACATGTCGCTGTATTATTTAAAAATCAAAATCTGGATTTAAATGTGATGTTTATTTTCGGAGACATCAGACACGTGCTGCAAGTCAACATGAAATACCCGCCAAATAGAATCAAAATGCTCATTAGCAGTTAGATTGACTGTATAGACCTGTGGCTGCCATTGTTGCTACTATTACTATTGTAGTTATGACGCAATTGCAAATGTTGATATCTATCTGTCTATCTATCTATTTATCTAAGGAAAACCATGCAATGTGATGAGAAGTCACCATCTCATTGTCCTCAGTGTCCACCTGGATCAGTGGTTTGTACATTTGCAGTCTATTGCCTGTTGCCTCTGCGTATATGTTTATTTTATTTATGTTTTCATGTACTTCTTCCACTTTCTCTGCCACTTATTTCCTCCCCAGGACCATCCACAACCACTTTTATCCCCTTAAAATGTTTGTATTTGTTCAATATTTCAACAAAAACTGTTTCCTGACTTTGAAGTGTCAGATGACAGACATTTCAAGCGGCACATAAACTCACACTTCAGCCTGGTAGCTATAATTTGAAAAGAAAGAAAAGGAAAAACTTGAAATAGTTTTTTTTTCCTCCACAAATATTTACTGCATTGTTGTCTGACTTTGATTCCATTTAAAAGTCAGTGCTGTGAAGAGGGTCTGTGTGATTTCCACAGGGCAGGAGGGATGTGGAGGTGCAAAGCAAGCAGTCCGGAGATGAGAGGGTTGAGTTGTTGGTTAGGGTGAAAACATCCACACCCGAAATGTCAGTCGAGTTTTCTGCGTGTTTTTGCGAGGACAGTGAAGCTTGCATGTGAGTGACATACAGTAAAAGTTTGGCACCAGAGATGTACTTGAAATGGAGCTCAGTAAATGAGTGTGATTAATTGAGGGCTCATCATCACTGTGATGATGAACATGAGGATGATTATGGCTCCGGTACTGAATCATCACAAAAGGACAAAGGCAGGTCCACTCAACTAATAATCCAATTTGTTTTTGATTTTAGGTGCAAAAATGGCCTTTTTGACTCACCGTCACCGCTCAGTCTTTCACCAGCGACTGCTGCTGCACAAACACAGATGCCGAGCACAAAGCCCAAGGCCAGGACGCTGGTGAGTCACAGTCATACCGGTGTGTGTGAATGAAGGCTAAGTGAACGCTCATTCAGTTAACAAAAAAAAAAAGGCTTTCATTTGACGTCATCGGTCTTAATCACTCAATTATAGCAATTTCCAGAAGGTAACTGTGCTTTATCTTTTCACTGTGTCTGCCTCCAGGTAACATGCAGGCAGCTGAGTGATGGGAGCAAGGCGGCCTCTCTCAGGGACCAATGTGAGATCATTCACACGCTCTTAGTCATTCACTCTCAATCATTTATGCTGAAAATACATGAATCACACTGTGTGAGTGTGTGTGAGTGTGATGGTGTATTCATGGTGTTTCACAATACTCAATAGATAACATGACACGAGGACAAGCAAGGTAAAAATGAAACTTTACTGTAAGTTAGAGGCCTCAGAGGGCAAGAAAACAAGCATGATATGAGCAAGTGAATTCACACTGTGTGGACAAAAGTATGTGGACAACCCTGTCCAACTTTTTAGCAATGGTTTAAGCAAAGCCCTGTCCATCCAAGGTCAAGGATGGTCTTTGAAACTCAACATGTGAAAAAATATGTGCAGACATGACACTAAAAGCAAAAGTCTGTTGGTAACTTTAATTAAAATAACATTTTGTCATATTTGCTGAACCTGTCCCTATATTGAGACAGGAGTACATGAGACAAATGGCCTGTGGAAAAAATCATATTCCTTCTCTTCCTCGTAATGCTTCTAATGATACTTGCAAGAATCCACCGCACGTGAACGAAAACAACCAATCAGAGCCGAGGAGTCTCTAGCGTAGCTGTCAATCATGTCAGTCATTGCTTGTCAAACTAGGCAGCGCTGATCAAATATGAATCAAGATCAAGATTCTGTTACTGTTTTGCCTATTTCTCACCTCAGTCTCTCACCTCATATTTTAGTGTACCGTTTAGTTGTAAAATGAGAATGTTTATAACCTGGCCTCCATGTTGGAGACAGAACCACAGAACCTCTGTTTTAAAAGATAATTCTGTCAACATGACCTTTGTTTTAGAAAATATCTGTCCACATTAAGCCCAGTACAGACCAAAGATTTGCAATGAGACAAAACCGTTTTAGAACGTCGCAGAGAAAAGTTGCAGCCATGAGAACTGACCACCTGAGCTTGACTCAAGTTTGGGGGTGTCACCTGCAACTCAGCTGGTCAAATCGCTGGCAGCTGGTTTGAGAACTTAAAGTACATCACCTGTTTCAACATCCAGTCGGCTTGCAGTGAAGTCTGCTGGTCAAGTCAAAATGACAGCAGACGGCGTGTTTGCTTGCTGTGGCAGGTGCTCCGTCACTCCTGAGCCCTCTGTTTCCTTCCTCACGGTGGGTTGATGCTGCTGCTCAATGTATGTGCTTATGAACACACTTATATGCATCTGTGAAGAGGTGCAGCAACCCTAAGTTTAAGTGTAAAGTAATTGTTAGACCAAGCAGTGCTAATAAACATCAGCAAACCAGCAGTTCACCATTGTTGTTGGTGTTTCGAGTGTATGCTCATCACTCAGAGCAACAGTGGGCGTATGCAAAGTGAGGAGGTTACGTCATCCTTCCCAAATGCTTACTGTTTCATGTCCACACAGATAAACAGCTACCAGAGTTTTTAAAAATATGCACCTTAGAACATTTTTTTTTTAAATCTCTGCTTTCTTGACCTAAATCTCTGTTTGTGTGGAAACAAGAGGCCAAAACATTGAACAGAAAATTTCCGTTTATAAGAATATCTGTCTCATTTAACAGCTAAACAGTACACTGAAATGTGTTTCTAAAACATTTGAGGTGAGAAATAGGTGACACCGTAACAGTCTCTTGATTGATATTGGATCAGCGCTGCCTAGTTGCCTAGCACTACAAGGAGGAGGAGCATGATAATTTTTCATAGATTATATGTCTCATTCACTACTGTGTGAATAAAGTGACAGTTGCAGCAATATGACAAACGTTTTAAAGCTACTAACTAGCTTAGGCAGGTGCAATTGCTTTAATTGTGGACTACACATGCACAGTGGCTGTAAATGAGCTTGTTAAAGATAAAGAATAAAATCTCAGGATAGATAAAACAGTGTAAACATAATGAACACACAGTAGGTATTATGCAGAATATTACATTTGGTCTGTTTTAACTGGACATAAAGAAGACAGGTGTTTATGGCTGAAGGAGAACAGAGATGAGATTAAATCCACATTACAGAGGCACTGAATTAGTTCAGCCTGAGACTGTCTGCCATTATGACGGTACAACCCTACCACACACACACCTCCACTCATGGGGAAGCACGGTACGAGAAGAGTCGCAGCCTGAGAGTGAACATGAGTCAGCCTAGTAGTACAACTTATTATGAGTGGGCTCCACTACAGTGGGAGCTAAATGGATAACTCATAGAAAGGCTTTTTTTTCTTTCAGCCGAGGAGACTGTCTGGGTTACAAAATAGATTTATTGATTTATGTTATGTGAGGCCCTGCTTGACCATGTTATTAAGATTTGGCATTTTTTCACCGAAGAGCAATTTAGGTTCAAATCATATCTTCTAGACTGTTGTGTTCAGCGAGGGCTCAGATTTCACATTATACCATTAAAAAAAAAAGACGATGACAGAGGCAGAGTTATAAAATGAAATGTTGAGAGTGCATGGATCTGGACACTGTTATGGCTCCAACTGACAATTATTTTCATTTTTAATTAATCTATTAAAAAAAAAATGTCTATAACATGTCAGAAAAAAAGGAAAACAAGCGTGAGAGAGTCCAAAGTGACAGCTTCAAATTTCTTGTTTTGTCTAAACCAACAATCCCAAAGCAAAAGAATGTTCAGTTTGTAATGAAAAAAGCAGCAAATCCTCACATTGAAGAGGCTTAAACTAGAGCGTGTTTGAGCATTTTTGCTTGATAAATGTCTTAAATTATGAATTTATTGATTATCAGTTTCACCAATTAAATATGTTCAAGTCCAGATATGACTAATGCCTGATATTGTGTCATTTTAGTTGAATGTAATTGTTTCCTGTTTACTTTGTTTCCTCAGCTCCTCCGCCATTGCTCATACTCAAAGGGACTGCAAGTGTGATGAGCACAGACCCCAGGGGGATCCCTTCCATTCGTGCATTCATCACGGTTGGTTTTACAACAAATGCACCAGATTGCTGCTTTGTTTCTTTTTTTCTCCCTTCTCTTCCCACTAATGACCTGTCTCATGTGCTACTGTCTATATGAAAAAATGTTTTTTTGTTTGTTTTTTTTTTAGAAAAGTTGACAACTACAGCTTTAAAGGAATACTTGACCCACAAAATGATCTTTTCTATATCAATTACTCACCCCATGTTATGTTGAAGTCTTGAAAAAATCTTATAATACTAATGCAGTAGAATCCAGGTCTCATTTATCCAGTCGTATGCTCAGTACAAACACATACATTTTCACTAAAATGTTACTACTCAACACACCTCCACACGAGTAGTGCATCTGAGCATGCATTTGAACTCTGCTTGTACACCCCATTGAGCAGACTTCAAAGACACGTGCTGGCCAAGGTGTGCTTATTGTCTGTGTCTGACACTGTTTATGCGGGAAGTGTTTTAAATATGTGGTTGGGAAGTACTGAACATACAACCGGATAAATGAGACTTGGATTATACTGCATGAATTATGTGAGAGTTTGTAAACTGATGTTTTGACATAGTTTTGCTGTTGTTAAATGCAGAACCCTTTAACTCCAATTCATCAAAATTTTACTCAGTTTTTGGATTCTTCGTTCATTGTGGAGGCATGTGAGAAAGACATAAATCGTAAACGTAAATCATAAGGTCATTGTCAACAAATCCCACAAAAAGCTAAAACCACAATGTGCTAGTTCATCTCTTAATATTTCCTGACTTCCCCAACTGGTTTGTGGCTCCTACTTAAGATATAAATGCTAGATAATTTATATTCTAAAAAAAAATCTGTCCTCTGTAGTTTTTAGTAAATCACTCAAACAGTAGCAGTCGGATATATTGCATGTTTTAGGGACTATTTTCAGCAGAGGATAAATACACATTCACTACCCTTGAGAATATTTCAGGCATCAGGATGGTGAATGTGGTATTGACCCAAAATAAACTACAGTGGCAGTGTTCATGAGGGAGGGTGCTGTCCTCTGCAACAGAATGACTCAGTGATGTGTTTTTTTGGCAACAATGGAGCTCTATGGCACAGATACATCAGACCACACAGGCAGTACTTGTTAGGAAGAGTTCAGTTCATTGTTGGTTTTGTCTTTTCATGGGATTAGCTGACAGTAATAAACATACAGGATATTTGCAGACCTCCCAATCCTTTGCAGCAAATTGAAATTGTAGTTGATGGATATGACCACAAGATGGAGGTGTTGATCTGTGGTAAGCAGTTATTTTTAAACTCGTTCATAATACCACAAACAAACACCTTAATCTGTTTCTTGCAGGGCTGCTCAACAGCATTATTATTAATTATCACTTTGTAGTTATATTACTGTTCACAAACAATTAATTGATAGTTAACAATGATTACTAACTATTTTGGTATTTTAACAGTTTGTTTTTGCAAATATAATATTTTATATACTATAGGCCTATTAAGTGATATTAAATGATTTTTTAACCTTTAATAACTTTAATCATTACATAAATGGACAAGATATTTGTAACACTTTGTTAAGGGTTCTTAATTTGTTTGTAAACTGCCTATAAACTTTATATATTTTGTTGGCCATTATAAAGTTTCAATGTCTGTAGGTGCACTATTATACTTACAATTTGCACCTTTACAATACCCATCCAAATAATATTTATACATGATTTACAAATCAATTATTACCATTATAAAATACTAAACATAGTATATAAAAAGTTATAATGTTTGCAAAAATAAGATGTTAAATTACCATAAATTACAGCATTACTGATAATAACAAAAAAATATTAATTATCTATTGATTGTTTGTTAACAGTGAAATAACTTTTAATTTAAGTTCAATTAACTATCAATGACCATATAATGATTATGGTTATTATAAAGTGTTACCTGCGTTTCTTTAGGACAACAATGGTGTGTATCACAGATATCTTTGCCTGCAGTTGGAGGAGAGGAAACAACAGATAAAGAGGGAGAGAGGCAGCAATGCTGTTGACGAGCAAAAGGTTAGTGACTTTATAACGAGAAGGATGCACTTTCATTAATAAATAATTAATGAATAAAAAAAATTTTTTAGAGCACTTTTCATACAAGGGAGGCAGCTCAAAGTGCTGTACACTAAAGATGCAACACAAAAGCAAAAAGGACAACAAGGTTAGCCAATAAAAAGACAGTGGATGATAAACAAAATATAAAAGTGAAGGTAAAGTAGTAAAAATTAATATAAAATAATAATAAAAAAGATTTACATCAATTAAAATTTACACTTAAAAGTCACACTTTTAGCTGTCGTTTGAAAATATTTACTGAGCTAGCATATTTTATAGCTTTTCAAAGGGTAGTCTATCATTTTGGTGCATAGTAAAAGTATGTATTTGAAAACCCAGCAGTTGAAGATCTGATCGCTCATGAGGGATTATAAAACGACAGAGAGTCTGCAATGTAAGCCAGTCCCAAACCATTAAGAGCTTCAAATCTAGTCTAAAAGATACTGGGAGCCACTGGAATGTAGCTGAAAGTGGGGTAATATGCTTCTTTGTTCTGGTTAAGCAGCACAATTCTGAATAAATTAAAATGTTCATGATAAGATTGATGGTAGATTACTTATATGTTTACTAATGGTGTCACAATTCTCCTACTGTCCGCAGCACAATGAGACCATGCAGCACTCCGTCTGGGGGATGCCAGGAAGTGGCGCCCCAAACTACCACCTGGGCACAGTGAAACGGACCAAAAGCCTCCACGCTGCCGGGATTTTACCCCAGGAGCAGGTAAACAATGCACCGTTTATCACCCTGAGCATTGTTCCATGCAACAAAAGCCCAGTGTACTCAGAAGGTCTCCTGATCGCGCCGGTTTTGACAGGAAAGAAAGTGAAAGAGTCTGCAGCCACGCAAATCTGTAACAAATGAGGATTGTTGTGCTGTAAGACACAGTGTCGCCTCTGTGTTTATTTTAGATACAAGCGGCAACGCACTGTCCACAATGACAAGACAAAAACACGGGTACAGTAAAAATCCACTTGACATTGTTTCTTTACTTTTGTCCCATTGAGACTTGAGCCTCCTGCAGAGTTTTGCTGCTCCAAAATGTTTTTGTAGGTAAAACTCCAGTCTGACCTCCTCTCGACACATCGCACTCATCTCGTAGCAGCTGAAACGCAAACCTCTGTCTGTGGTTCTTAACAGTAGGAGTTGGTCAGACTCTAAACAAGCTGTGTTTGAGGTCTAAACATGAGTCTGGGTCCTGGGCCAGCATCACATTACAGCCCCATTTCTCCGGCCGGTGTTTCTGAATGCTGTCTTTGTTTCCAGATCCGTGATAAAGGCTTCAGTGGGACCCCCTTCCGCTGCCTGTGAAATGAAGACCACAACATGCCCAATCTGAGACCACTGAACACCACGGAGCCGCCAGACAAATACTACTCTCTGACTTTTATCTTCACGGGATGATAGTTTTGCAGCCATCAACAGTTTTGGGCTTTTTCGGCAGCAAATTTTGATGGTGACAAAATAAAAAAATGCTGAATGTAAATTAAAAAACTACACTAAGAGTATTAACAACTTGAGAGCTCAGAACAAGTGAGCCTTTTGTTTACAGCTGCATGTGTTTCTGCATGAACAGGTGCCTGCAACAGCAACATTTCCCTCTTTACATACCAAGAAGGGGCTTGTGGCCCTTATCGATTCTTCTCAAGGTGGATTTACGTCTGAAGTCAAGTTTTTATAAAGGGGCACTTCGTGATTTAGTTTATAAAGCTGGGGGACTATATTTGAATTAGAATGTCAAAATCAATGCAGAAGAAGAGTCTAACACATCCTGACTTTTAGGCCCTGTCTATGATGCACAAAAACATATTGAAAACAGATATTTTTCCCCGTCATTTAAAGAAATCGTTTTGTCCACATGACCTTTGTTTTACGAAATCTCTCTGTCCACACTAAAGCACAAAACCAACTTTAAATGCTCACCAGTGTTAGCTGTCTTCAGCAGTCTGCCCTTGTCACAAAGGTAGTTAAGAGTACAGGCTACCGTTACCTTCTCCAAAACACCAACTGAAGATCTCATCACTGCTTTGGTCATGTGAAAGTTTTCCTTCCACTCCTCCTCAAGAACAATCCCACTCAAGAAAGTGTCCCACCATCAGCTGGTTTGACCGGTGCAGACTCAAAACATCGTTTCTGCCTCCATTAATCCATGAAGTGGTGCAGCAATACAAATTTTAACTCCAGAGTATTCATTAGACCAAGCAGAAACACAACGTACCCAAACACTTCATTTTACATGTCCACACAGTAACCAGAGTTGTGAAAAATCTGCGCCTTTAAAAGGTGTTTTAAAAAATCTCTGCTTTAGTGACCTAAACTCCGTTCGTGTGGAAACGAGACACCAAAACAGATGGAAATATCTCTGTTCACACTACCAGCAACACAGCAACAGCATGCCCAGCTACATTATCGTCAAATTGCCACTGAGGTGTCACTCAAGCGCTCATTAACGTAGTTATGGTGTCACATGCTTGTGTGTGTCTCCTAAAGGCCACACAGCACCTCGACTGAAGGTTATCTGAAGATTGTCTTTGGTCAAAAAACAATATATGCTTTTGATCATCGTCTGAGCCCCATTTTAACATCATATTTTGGGGGTGTCGGTGGCTTAGTGGTAGAGCAGGCGCCCCATGTACAAGGCTGTTGCCGCAGTGTCCCGGGTTCGAATCCAGCCTGTGGCCCTTTGCTGCATGTCATCCCTCCTCTCTCTCTCTCTCCCCCCTTCACACTTACCTGTCCTGTCCAATAAAGGCAAAATGCCCTAAAAAATATCTTTTAAAAAAAAAAATAACATCACATTTTGCCGCCTTATTGCATCATCTTGTGCGCCGCGATACACAGAGCTAGCATAGCATCAGCTATGTTTGCAAAATAACACAGAACCACAGCTAGAAACACAGGCATTTGATTGGTTGATGCTTCACTGCATCGCTGGAGTGCTGAAAAACTTGAGGCTAGCTCACATTTTGTCGTAGCGTGTCACCCGTCAGCAGCGACAAGTGTCAGGTGTCTGTTTGTAGCTTTGTGTCGCTATCTTCCATTGAAAATGGCTTTGAGTCGGTTACTGTGTCGCTTGTAGTGTGAACACAGCATTAGTCTCTAGTTTGGCTCAAGATCCAAACACATGGATACTACAGTTCCCATAATGCAACAGTCTAGCAGCAGTCAAGTCCAAGTTAAGTCTTAAAGGAATAGTTTGATATTTTGGTGAGATAAGAGAATAGATCCCAGTCTCATGTAAAGTAAATAGGGAGCTGGAGCTGGCACCAAGTTAGCTTAGCTTAGCATGAAGACTGGAAACAGCTAGCTGGCTCTGTCTAAAGGTAACAAAATTTGCCTACGCTAAGCTAACTGTCTGGTGCTGGCTCCAGCCACATATTTAGGGCATAAATCTTCTCATTTAAAGGCTTATTTATGCTCAGCATTAGAAATGTATATGGATACGTATGAAGCCTGCCATCATGTCATCCATACTTATGCATGTTTTCTGAAAGCTTATGGATAAGGATGAAACAGAGCAGTACCACCTGACATCATGGGGACAGTGAAGTGTCGTTCAAACGACAGCCGACCATCTTAACGGAAAGAATCACCAAGACATGAAAATAATTCTCCATCCACTTGTTTTGATGTATTTAATGGCCTCACAAACCACGGCCATCTACAACACTGCCTCTGTTTTTTAGGCGGCTTAAACACTAAGTCATTGAGGCAGCGTTTGCTCAATGCCATTTGATTTTATGTATGTGACACAAGGATTTTCTACGCCAAAGTTACTGTAAGTGAACATAGTGAGTGATTCGATCTATAAACAAGCCTTTGCTCTCAGCAAGACGGCACATACGTTTAGTTCCCAGAAAAGTCAAACTGTTCCTTAAGTCCTGGGAATCAAATCACAAACCCTTTAAATACAGGACAAGTTTACAACAGCTGAGCTGCATGACTGAGAACAGAAGCTGAATTCAAAACTTTTAACAATGAACGAGAAGTTAAAGTTTGATCAAACATACGACACAAACAATGCAAAGAACTAGTATAATTGTTAATGTTTGATTCTGATTTGCTGCAAGTTTAAGCTTGCCAGGTTTACATCAGCCTACACAGGTCAGTGAAAATGTTGTCGTCCCACAGATTTAAACTCTACTGATGAGCTGAATGGTGTTACTGTAATTGGTAGTGTGTACTGTGATAAACAGCGACACTGTTTGAATAACTAACTGAGATACTATGAATTATTTGTCCAGAAGGTCCCTGATTGATCCTCCAGGTAATTTCCATGTAATTATATGGTGAAGGGAGATGAATCAGCCCCCTCTAATTGCATGGCTTTGTACGTGACGTTAGCAAGCTCTTAATTGGCACAGTTAACTCAGACACTGCATGTATTTAGTTTGCATAGGCTAAAGGGCCTTATTGTGGAGGGCAGCAGCAGCAGCAGCAGCAGCAGCAGCTCTCCTCCTTGGTGGGTGGGTAATTGTCATGTAGGGACAGTTATAAGGGACAGTGAAATACCAATGGTTAGACTGCAAGGTTGGTAATTATACTGTGGAAAAGTAAACTTGTTCCTTTGGGGTCATTGCTGTCTCATGCAAACATTGTGCACTAAAGAAGAGAAACTGTTCAACAAGTTAGAACTTTCTCAGTGCTTTCACCAATTTGTGAATGAGGATTACAACTGCACAATAAGTATTTTATTCATTTCTTTTTCCATATTCCGGTGTTTCTCAAATGGTAAATGGGAGTGCACATACCCCTGGAGTTCTGCAGGGGGTGTGGATTTTTTTTTTTTTTAAGTCTAATTTAAATGATATCAGTCATGCATAATTCCTAACTACAATGCCGGTTTAAGTGTTAATGCATGATGACAAACATGATTTTGCCATGAATGTAATGATGAATTGTAAAGATTTGAAATGTAGCATTTAACACTAAAATTGCCAGCATTCCAACACCTCCAAGAACTGCCAGGAAGGTGTCAGTTTTACACCCTGCTGCAACTGCATCAATTAACCCAAATATGTTTTTCTTGAAGTTGGTAAGTTGTTCACGTTCATATTTTTTTTAAATAACAAGTAAGACTTGACAAAATAAATGTATTTTAAATATTCAATTTTGGGGGGTTTAACAATTTTACAATTACTTTATATCATTACAGATCAAAAAAGGTGCATTTGAGAAAAAAACATTTTATAGTTCATCATATAACAAACAAACAAAAAAAACTGACAAATTTAGGTGAGACATGGCAGGCAAAAACATCGATTTTCCATGCAGTGGTCAATTTTGAGATTTTGGGCTAGTTTAGTCCTTGAATATGTATTCTTTCAAACTGCTATAAAGAAAACATTCAAATTAAACATTTAGATGTTTATTTTATTACATTTTGTCTACTTGTATAATGTTATTATGTTATTATGTAAATCTTTGAATGCCGTTTTCTCAAAATGAGTTTTTTGTCATACTCCAAGTCAAACATCTCAGCCTCTGTAGCACCTATGTACACCAAACTTTCCAGTTATACACCTAGCTATATTCTGAAGATATTTACAGAGGGATTTGTTAATAAATCATTCCTAGCCTGATTTATGTGACATTTTATTCCCAAAAATATGGCGAAAATTTAAGGCTATGGACAGTATTTTGATTTTCTACGTAATAAAAGCAGATATCCTTAAATCCCTCTGTAATATTTTTTTCATCTTATATATAAACAAAATGAAAAAATAATTTTGTACCTGCCTTTATCAGATGGTCAGATTTATCTTCCTAAAATCTATGCAAATTTGAGCATATTTAATGAGATAATGCCTAATTTGCATATTTGAACATTACAATTTTAAAAGTAATAATAAGTAAAGTCATTGTAAGTAAGTAATCAACTGAGGAAGTTTCATGATGATATCTATTATTTTAAAATGTTACCCTATTCACCTGTAGTGTCTCCCCTTTAGTAATTAAGTTCACATTAGAAATTAATTTCGGATAATAAAATGTAATTAGCAATAAACAGAATAAAGAATTGGAGCTCTCTCTCTCTCTCTCTCACTCACACACACACACACACACACACACACACACACACACACACATATATAGCTGTTTAGCTGTTCATGGTGCTGACAGGGCAGGCTCAAAAGGTCAGGATAATTTATATTTAATAGTTATAACAACAATTTAAAACAGTTACAGAAAATTTAACACCAAAACAAACCACAAACTTGAACATCAATTTGTAAATCAAAGCTGCCGCAGTAACTAAGCTGTCTAAAACACTGTCGTTAAAATATTTTGTGGCGGTGTTCTTCCAGTGAGTGGTCCTGTCTGTACAGTCTGTGTCATCCTAGCTAGTCTCATGAGGCTCACAAGGATCAGGTTATTGAGCTGACACTAAAGAATATAAATATTTATAATCAGCCTAGTTTTCTAAATGTGGTGGGTTTCGCTCGACTGTAGGCTCACCTGTCAAGTCTCCCACAGTGTCCAAGCGCTGCTGT